GACGACGTGTTTTATTCTGCGAGTCGCGTCCTTCAGTTGTTACGACGCACAGCTTTTATATTCACACTCATGTAACACTGGACATTTAAAGTGAAATAGAACAATAGAGTTCAACACAAACACACTAACTGCCGATGACACAACACACACACAGACACACACACACGCACACACACACACACAGGTCCCACGTGTGTTTGTAGCTTTGATGCCCTTTGCTCTCCAGAGTAGAAACCTGCTTTATGAGAGCAGCAGTTTCACCACAGGCTGGAGTCTGGATGAGACCTCATGGGGCCACAGGGTCCTCATCTGTGAGCACGAAGACACAAATAACCACCAGCATATGAATCATAAATGCTGTTTATTAAGTTATGAATGTCACCGGGCATCGTTTGACCCTCTACGGAAGCTGTGACACCAGACGATTGAAGGTGTGAATCACACATGTGTTTCGCCTGGTGTCTCCATGTCTTATAGCACGGATTGCGCTCTTAATGATCTGATTTCAGCCGAGTCTCAAAGTTTGAAGGTTTTTTTGTGTGTTATATTGATTTATTTCGTCACCATAACATGTAAACTGATTGTTACGCATTAGAACACTTACAGGTTCCCCTTCATCCTACAGGAGATGAGATGATGGAGCATCTGGGGCCATTTTCAGAGCAGAGGCCAAAAAACGTATAGTAGCATCATTTATAGTTAGATTGTATTTTGTAATAAATGTAATAGAAAGTTAGAGAATTGTACATTTCAAGGCATTAAAATGTCTGAATATAATGATCAAAATGTAGTTTGTTGAAAACGTCATAGAATAGATCATGAAGGTATTGAAAAATATCACAATAATCCCAGTAAGTTAGTAAGTGAGTGAATTATTTTTATGCACACGTTTATGCACACACATGTTCAACGACATATGCACACATGTTCAACGACACATGCACACATGTTCAATGACATATGCACACGCGTTCAACGACATATGCACACATGTTTCATAACATGCATAAATGACATTTTTTATTCATGAGGCAACACGTAAATAATGATGATGAAAAGTCTTTTCATGGAATTAGAAGATGGCGGTTTATGTCACTTAGACATGTTCGATGAGGATTACAGAAGTTATTGTTTTATTATGAAGATGCTTCTTTAAATGAGAAACTTCTGCTCTAAACATGATGAGTCATTTGTTAATAGAAGGGAAATAATAAATTAAGCAAATCAAAAGTTCAGCTCAACACATAAAATTGCACTTTCTTGTTTCTTGTTCTTTGACGTCGTATCCCCCCCCCCCCCCTAAAACAGCTGGCAGCGGCTGCCCAGCAGGTAGCTCAGGGCCACCGTCATGTTCTTCACCTTGAAGCCGGCAGTGGAGTTGAGACGGAGGCGGAGCCTCTCCTTGTTCCGCAGGTAGGCGGTGCTGTGGAGCCCCCTGCAGACCTCCACGGAGGCCCGCAGGGGGAAGGAGCTGGCGGGGGCCTCCCGGCCCTGCACCCACAGCTCCAGTGTCCCCAGGGCCCCCCCCTGGTCCCGGTCCTTGTAGCACAGGTACAGGTACAACACGTAGGGGCCCGTGCAGTTCACCTGGATCTGGTCCTTCTCCTCGGGGACCAGGCTCATCATGTGACTGCTGTAGACCCCCCCGAACGGCACCCACACCTCGCCCGAGAAGTCTGCAGGGGACGAGGGAGCTTATTGATCACATCTTAGGCTTATCGATCAGATCTTAGGCTTATTGACAGTATTGATCAGATCTTAGGCTTATTGATGCGATCAGTCCTCACCTGAGACGGGGTTCAAGCGGATGTGCACGTTGTCCTGCGCTTCTCTCGCTGTCCGACCCTAAAGGTGCACAGGTAAACAAACATTTACATTCTCTGTTTCCTCTTTGGGAAATATATATATAAGTATATAAATATAATGTTCAGGCTGATCTCATAAAGCAGCTACATATCATAATGTATATGAAATATACAATACTTCATGTACAACTAATATAATATAGAATAATACTGTTGGCACTTCAAACACGTCAAATGAAGGAAGGTTGAGCGCAAAGAAAAGACGTAGTTCAACATGATCACACGTGTGCGGTTTGTGTTTAACAATTAAACAAATGTCTAAAAAAACAGGCTCTCATTACTTGTAAAATTTGTCTTTGGCAGAAAAAAAACATTCATTAATCACCATTAATCACATATTTCAAAATGTGCAATGAATTAGTAATAAAATATTGTACAATAAATAAAGTAGGATAAAATATCTACAGGTGAACGCTCACCTGGACGTCCCAGCACACGTAGAGCGCCACCAGCAGGCACGTGGTCACCACCGCGGTCTGCACTGCCACGACCAGCGCCAGATGTCTCGTGCGCTTCGTCTGGTGCAGCCCGCGACCTCCGTCAGCCTCCATCCTCCTCTGAGCACACAGAGCGCGAGGGACTCTTTAAAGCGCCAGGGAGGGGGGCTGAGATCTTCTAGCGTGTGAGGGGGAAGAGACAGTTTGTTGTTCATGCTCTGTGTCTGAGGTGAAACACCTACTTAGCCTGACCCTAACCGGTGCCGGCTATAACCTGGTGGAATAAGAGCCTCTGGTGGGGGGGTCCTGAGTTTCCCTTCTGTGGGTGAAGCACAAAGATGAAGAGCCTCAGAAGTAAATGTCAAGTGATGACGACCTGCCACGTGGGAGGGGAAACCCCCCCTGACCAAAGGCCCAGACACCAGCTCACCGCTGAGAGATACTGGGGGGCTCAATGTCAACTGATCAGCAGAGGACTTAGCTGATGAGCTAGCTGATCAGCTAGCAGAGGACTTAGCGGATGAGCTAGCAGAGGACTTAGCCTGATGAGCTAGCAGATGAGCTAGCAGAGGACTTAGCCTGCTGAGCTAGCTGATGAGCTAGCAGAGGACTTAGCCTGCTGAGCTAGCTGATGAGCTAGCAGAGGACTTGGCTGCTGAGCTAGCTGATGAGCTAGCAGAGGACTTAGCCTGCTGAGCTAGCTGATGAGCTAGCAGAGGACTTGGCTGCTGAGCTAGCTGATAAGCTAGCAGAGGACTTGGCTGCTGAGCTAGCTGATAAGCTAGCAGAGGACTTGGCTGCTGAGCTAGCTGATAAGCTAGCAGAGGACTTGGCTGATGAGCTAGCTGATGAGCTAGCAGAGGACTCGGCTGATGAGCTAGCTGATGAGCTAGCAGAGGACTTGGCCTGATGAGCTAGCTGATGAGCTAGCAGAGGACTTTGGCTGCTGAGCTAGCTGATGAGCTAGCAGAGGACTTTGGCTGCTGAGCTAGCTGATGAGCTAGCAGAGGACTTGGCTGCTGAGCTAGCTGATAAGCTAGCAGAGGACTCGGCTGATGAGCTAGCTGATGAGCTAGCAGAGGACTTAGCCTGATGAGCTAGCAGATGAGATAGCAGAGGACTTAGCCTGATGAGCTAGCTGATCAGCTAGCAGAGGACTTGGCTGCTGAGCTAGCTGATAAGCTAGCAGAGGACTTAGCCTGATGAGCTAGCTGATGAGCTAGCAGAGGACTTGGCCTGATGAGCTAGCTGATGAGCTAGCAGAGGACTTTGGCTGCTGAGCTAGCTGATGAGCTAGCAGAGGACTTTGGCTGCTGAGCTAGCTGATGAGCTAGCAGAGGACTTGGCTGCTGAGCTAGCTGATAAGCTAGCAGAGGACTCGGCTGATGAGCTAGCTGATGAGCTAGCAGAGGACTTAGCCTGATGAGCTAGCTGATGAGCTAGCAGAGGACTTGGCCTGATGAGCTAGCTGATGAGCTAGCAGAGGACTTTGGCTGCTGAGCTAGCTGATGAGCTAGCAGAGGACTTTGGCTGCTGAGCTAGGTGATAAGCTAGCAGAGGACTTGGCTGCTGAGCTAGCTGATAAGCTAGCAGAGGACTTGGCTGCTGAGCTAGCTGATAAGCTAGCAGAGGACTTGGCTGCTGAGCTAGCTGACAAGCTAGCAGAGGACTTGGCTGCTGAGCTAGCTGATAAGCTAGCAGAGGACTTAGCTGATGAGCTAGCTGATAAGCTAGCAGAGGACTTAGCTGATGAGCTAGGTGATAAGCTAGTAGAGGACTTAGCTGATGAGCTAGCAGAGGACTTAGCTGATGAGCTAGGTGATAAGCTAGTAGAGGACTTAGCTGATGAGCTAGGTGATAAGCTAGTAGAGGACTTAGCTGATGAGCTAGGTGATAAGCTAGTAGAGGACTTAGCTGATGAGCTAGCAGCAGCCCACACTCCCCCTGGAGAGGATGTTGGATAAAGTTGAGAGTTTCAAACCAGGGGGGAACATTCAGGCCGTGCACATCTGGAGACACAGCTGGATGCTGCTGGTGTGAGAGCCCCTCCTCCCCGCACCAGTCGGGTTAAAGCTGAGAGTGGGAACCAATCACAGCCTTCTTTTTGTTGAGTATTGATTCACCCAGATTGTGAAGTATTCAAACCCAGAGGAAATATCACGAATGGAATGTCGGCCGACTTTCTCTCATGAGCTTTTGTGTGCATCAGTGTGTTTGTGCCCCTATGTGTGTGTCTCTGTATGTTCAGCTTCTTTAGAATCTGACCAACATGAAACTGAATTTAGGGAACAACAAATTAAAGTGAAAAATGAATCAAATCAGAAAGTGAGACAATTTGAGACTAAACAATTTGTACTAAATGAACTTTCCACGTTGAGGTTTCACTCGTCTCAGATGACGAACATCAAAGGAGCTGTGAAATCACCAACGTCAGACTGCTCCTCCTGCTGGAGAAACTGCAATAATGTCCTACCTTTGTCAGTATTAGAGGCACGTTGTGTTCGATTGCTTGTGCGTCGTGTGTATAACTCATTTTGCCCAGAGACCCAGAGACCCCCCGGGTTTTGGCATGTTTATATATTCCTGCCCCGAAGGTGCATGACTTTGTTTGTGCGTCAACTCTGTCGCCTGTTTGCAAACATTAACATCCTGTTTGGTGATTTTACGCTGATGTCGACAGAACCACATGGAGGTGATGACGCGTTAGATCAGTTTAATGGTGAGAGCAGGTAAAGAGGAACCCTGTGCGCACACGCACACACGCACGCACGCGCACACACGCGCACACACACAGTAACATTATCCACAAATGTTCTTTTGTCTCTTGATTCTCTTCTTAGTTAAATATATACACACTGACGGAGGTGGAACCAGTTGGTTCTCCTCTCCCACAAGGACCACCAGGAACCTGGTCTTCAGCTCAGTAGACCCGGCCAGGGTCTGAACGGGAGGTGTTGGAGCCTTGTCTCCTGCTCCTCTGAGCTTCTACATCTCTCGCAGCTCCACCCGTCCTCAGGTGGAGGAGGAGAAACCGTCCTGAGGAAACGTTTGTTTGGACCAGTAAGGTCTCTGTAGAGTGACACAGTTCCAGTTCCACTCTGGGTCCTGGTCTCTAGGGGTGTGGCAGGTTCATCCGGTCCTCTATCAGCGTGTTGTCAGGTCCCTGGGCCTCTATGCACTGCTTCACCGTCGCCATGACGCCCGAGAGGCGCCGGTCCAGAGCCGCCAGGTGAGGCTCGGCCAGCACCGGCTGGATCGGGTCGAAAGCCAGCGCCTGGCGCATGTCGGCACTCAGAGCTCCGCCCCTCAGCATGTTCAGCCGGTTCCAGGTGGAGACGCGGACCCTGAGGCGGGAGGAGGAGGCGTGAGGCGAGAGGAGGTGTGGGAGGGCATGAAGGCAGGAGGACGGTTACTCACATGCAGCACTGGTAAAGCGGCGCCAGGATGCTCCGCTCATCCAGAGCGGCGTTCCCAAAGCTGCACACGGGACAAAGGCCACGTCAGGAGAGGGGATGTCAGACAGAAAAGCTCCTAACCATCACTTCTTACCTTTCACAATAAAAGCCCTAGACATACACACTGAAGCGACACTTTAGTTTAATGATTTGATGATCATTGCACCACGGTGGCTTTAATGTGACCAGCGGGCAGGTCTCAGGTCAGCTGCTACTCGCCTCTTGGCGTTGTCCAGCAGGATGAGCATGCTGGCGCCGCCGTCGTCCTGGAAGCTCTCGTAGTGATGCCGGTCGGCGTTCCCGATGAGGTAATCAAAGATGGCCGTGTCGATGACGTCGAGCAGCCGCGGCCCGGCGTCGTAAGGAGGCATCTTCTTCACAGCTTCACAGTAGCTCTCATCGTACTCCCACCTGGGGAAGACACACAGACAGATATAACGTTGTTTTAATGAAACTTTTCACCATTGATTGAAAAGAATGAATAAAATGTGTATTTTCAGTTAAAATAAGTTGAGAAAAGGAAAATATCAATGGGATCTGCATCTGTTAATATGGATCATGATCGGGGATCTGACTTCTGGCGGTTTGTGCCATGTGTGAATTAGCCACGCCCACCTGGCCAGCTTCCCCTCCCGGTACGTCCGTCCCCACGGATGTCGGTGCTTCTGCAGCGGCCAGACGTCCGGCAGCCAGAGGGTCAACGACCCCTCCATGACCTCCGCCTCGGCACAGGCCGGCTCGCTCTCACGGCAGTAGTAACACTTCCCATAGAAACAGGTGTTGTTACCTGGAGGGGGCGGAGGGAAGAATGTCATCTAGCACTACGTCTTCAAGGAAAGAGAGACAGACACACTCAGAGACACCTCCCGTCTCTCACCCTGCATGAGGAAGGTGCCCAGCAGCTGGTCCGTGGCCACAGGTTTGATCTCCGTCCGCACGTTGATGTTCCTCCCGACCACTAGGGGAGCTCTCCTGAAGCCCAGGATCCTGTTAGAAATCAGATTTGATTCTTTTATATAACTTCTATATCAATGATATATCACCTTTAATCACATATATTTGAATTATATTGACTTGCATTGTAACTGTATTCATTTTATTATTATTCCTCCCTGTTTTGCTTTATCAGTTGTAAACTCCATCTTAAAACTCTTTATTATATCTCCATCAACCGACCATTAGAGAATACATGTGTACAGACTCACTATTATTACTGTTAAATATTAGGACACGTTATAAATAGGAATCCATTAACTCGTAATAGTGATGTTTGCAGCACGTTTTGAGCATTGGGAGGAGCTCAGACGAGCAGATGGAGGAAGCTGCGCCTTTAAATAGACGTTTTCATCTTGAACCTACACCAGACGCGTAGTCCATGAAAGCAAAGTACTACGAGCCTGAAGTCTCATTGGATGATGCACATTTAAAGAAATGGAATCTAGTTTAATAGTTTAGAGTGACAAGGCACTTAAAAAGAGCCTATGCTTGTTCTATTTAAATTGATTAAGACGATTACATCTGTATCAAACTGTTACTCAAATACATTTAAAGCTTCAATTCTAGCATTTTGAGTAATTATTTTAATTTGCTGTGGAAAATAGTCATTAGATCTACGAATCTATGGCGGAGTGCAGAGTCACTATTATTATTATAGTTAATGTATATCCATCACAGGTGTAGTCACCTGTCCAGGTGGAAAGCAGCCACCTCTGCGTTGTGCCGGTCGTAGCCTGCGTACGGTTCTCCCTCCACCACGTAGTCTCTGTTGTACCTGCAGACCAAAGACCCCGATCACACCTCTGAAGCCTCCAATGTCTCTTTCATCTCTTTCATCTCTAATCGCACCTCTTGGGCTTGAAGACCACTTTCTGCCCCCCCTCGAGGACCAGCAGGGCCTTGAGCTGCGTGCCCTTGTAGCCCACATCGGCCCGCTCTACGCGGGCGGTGCTGAGGTAGGTGAGCACGGCGGCCAGCTCGGGGGTCTCTTCGGGGTACACCTCCCTGGGGCCCACCCATTGGCTGGCTATCTCCCACGGGGACTGTAGGGTGTGTGTGAGGTGAGCCCCCCGGGCCAGAGAGAGCCCCGCCTCCATCTGTGGAGTAGTAGTAATTTATTTGATTTAACTTCGAGCCATACCTGTAAACTCTTTGTACGCAACCCTGGGGAGAGACGCGCTGAGTTTGACCTCTGACCTTTCGAAACGCTCTGAGGTCGCGGCGGCTGGCCACCGAGCCGTCGCCTCCATCCAGCAGGAAGATCTTAGCCAGGCCCAGCAGGAGCAGAACCACACACAGAAGCACCATACGCTGCTTCAGCTTCATCGCCTCGTCCTCAGTGAGTCTGCAGAGAATCAGCCTCACACCTGACGCATGACCCCTGTAGCTCCGCCCCCTCCCCCCCAGACGAGCTCTTCTGCAGGACGATCCAAACAAACAGCGAGGTCCCTGGTGGGAGAGAGACAGACAGGAGGGGAGGACAAAAAGATAGATGTCAATAATATGTGCAGAATACGCCCCCCCCCCAAACACACACACACTCAGATGAGCCTGTCGGGATGTTTGACTACGTCACTAAAACGCTTCTACTGGAGTAACGTAAGTTTACGTTGTCCAACTAAAATGTGTTTTGATTATTTACATCATCAAACCCTCAGCTCGCTGTCAGTTATTATGATTGACAGGTGTGTGTGTATTCATTATGACAGCAAATGAATACAAGCGACACGTGGCGATTGAGGGACGTTAGAGCCCCGTTTACAACAACCGGCAGCAGAGGCTGATGGAAGCATGTAAATACCTTACAATGGAATTCACTTAAATACGTAAGAAGGGAACCGCTGGACGAGTCGGTTCTGACGTCACGCATTGTTTTTTCCCCCGCTCAGTGGTTTGTGTGTCTGACATCCCCCGCTAAACGTCAGGTCACCATGACAACACCAACACGGTTACGTTAGCTCCTCGCTATCTGCCTGCTGGTTACCTGCTGGTTACCGGCTAGTTACCAGCTAGTTACCGGCTGGTTACCTGCTAGGCGCTTAGCAAACCGCTGCACACCTTCGCGGTGTCGGTTAGCTTCAGCTAACAGCTAGCTGCGGAATGTCGTCGGTTGTTTTACCGGCTAGCGGGCAAGTTAACTTACTGAAGAGCCGTTTACCGATCACCGGAGGCTGAGTAGCTTGGTGACTTCATTAGACTGGTGTATTAACGACGCGAACGAGGATAATTGTCGCCTTGTCGGGTTCATTTTCTCTCCGTAGCTCCGTCTCCTTCGGTTCCTTCGGTGACGCGTCCACTTCCGGAACACTTCCTGCAGGAGCCGCCGGCGGCCGCCAGGGGCGCTGCTGCTCCACCCGGCAAACTGCTGGGGCCTTGGTGTTTTAATACTTATTTCATTTAAAAACATTAACATTTATCAAACTAAACATCTTTATAATTCATATTGTTGTGTAAATCTTTCACATTATCTTAATTATAATAAAATTATTCATTCTTAGAATGAGTTTCAATTCAACACACTCAAGCTGTGTCTCAAAGTCGCAGGGCTGCACCCTTCAGCCTTCATAGACCTGGACTACAACCACACAGGCTGAACTGAGCAGTCTCTGAAATGGGACGGTCTGTCCTACGTCACCAGCAAGCAAAAGCAGCAAAGCGAGTTCAGTTTCTTTGTGTATTTATTCTGTAACTCAGAAAGTGACGATTCAGGTTCATACGTTTGATCCATTTGTTGATAATATGAAGTATAAACCGTATATAAAGCGTCTGAGAAATTAAATCCTCGTCGGCCCGCACTGCATGCTGGGATATGCTGGGCCGCAAAGGACGGATCAGATGTGTCCTCCAAACCGGGTCCTGGAGGACTGCGTCCCTCCACCGCGATCGGAGGACGACGGTTTGGGACAGACGGGTCGCAGCGGAAGTGACGTATGCGCCCTGAAGGATGCAGCCTAGAGACTTTGAGACACAGCTACAGCTTATTTAGGGCCAATGTCCCCCTGAAGACTTGACCTCTGACCCCTCTGGGACTCAATGATGTCACCTTCATTCAGTGTGAGAAGCTTCAAAGGTTTTGATCCCGTCGGGATCTCAAGCATCCGCAAAGACGCAAAGTCCAGTTCCTCATCCGATTCACCGTCACATGCCGCAATAATCGAACTACCAACCGGATCGGATGGAGTTATCCAGGCGTGTTAGTCGGATCGTAGTCGGACAAAGGTGTTTACATGAAACGGATCATTGGACTTCAGTCCGACTGAGCCAGTTATTGGAATCCATGTAACGCTGAATTTGTTGCAACACCTCACGTTACCATTTTTCATGGTAACGTGTGTATATTTATGTCATAATCCACACTGTCCTTGAGGTGTAGATGGCTCAATTCATGAAGTAAAAGTACCACTGGATTAGAAATAGAGTTAATATGAACATTTTAATATAAAACTGAAAGCTAAATTACTGAAGTATAATATGAAATTAAATCAGTGAATTTATATTATTTAAATCAGTTTAGTACATATTAAAAGGAACTGGTTTAGGAAATGTACAGAGTAAAATGACCTACTCAAGTAAAGTAAAAGTACCTTAAGTTTTACTTAAATAAATGTACTTAGAGCTGAGGTTTCATTAACTTCAATTACAATAAACTCTGCAGACTCGTGAAATAAAGCTTCTAAAGTCAAATTAAAGAATCTACATTTCCGGGGGATATTTTGTGATAAAATCGATGAAGCCTGACAACAAAGATGGAAGTGATCCTATTTAAATAGAATTAAACCCTGACTGACGGATGAACGAGCAGGAGGCGCCGCGTGTTGTAAAAAAGGGCTTTGAGTGTTTATTGGTTCTCAGTCCGTCAACAAGGCAGCGCATCACTCAGCTGAGAGGTCACAGCGCCACACGCACACACACGCACGCACACACACAAAATGGTGAATAACAGTAGATCAAGTTGTTAAAGGAAACAACACAAAAACAAGAGACTCAAGCATCAAGTTTCTTTGTAACACTTAAACTTTCCGCTTTCATCCCAAAAATAATGTCAACCTCAATAAGTAAAATAAAACACAAAGCATCTCAAAAATGACACGTTTCCATTATTTTGACCAAACACTGAAGAAAAGATGAGAACCAAAACTGATTGACCTCAAGGCCAGAGGCTCAAACTCTTTGTACCCAGAATTCATTCTGACAGTTCGTCCTCAATAAAATACACCTGGTGGAATCGTCCCCCCCGACTTCTCAAGCACTTGGATCCACGGAGACAAAATCTATTGATAAACAGCACAAACAGGCAGATAATGTGGACTTTTCATTTTGGGCTGAACTGGTGTCTGATAATCAGCCCCCCTCCCCCAGAGACCCTGATACTCCTTCAGCTCCCGTCGAGTGAGGAAGAAAAGCTCCTCCTCTTCAGTGTGGACTTCACTTGGTGCACATGTTCTTCTGCTTCCTTCAGTCAAACATCTCAACGTCTCACAAGTGTCTTCAGTCTGACTGACCAACTAAGGAGCTGAATTGTTGACGTGCACATTGAGGGGGGTAAACAGCCGAGAAGCTTTCTACACAACACGAGGGGTAAACAATTGTAAACAAACAATGGAAATGATTTAATTAAAAAAAATAGAATGATGAATATTAATGGAATCATTGTCGTCTCCACCTTTAATATTCAGGATCCCTGAAACAAAACTACACACACACACACGCTCATATATATATATACCCTCACACGAGTGTGCGTGCGTGTGTGTGTATGTCATGGTAATACTGGGAGATGACCCCCCCCCCACAACTTCCAACACAAAGCCAGAAAAATACTTAAAGTCTGAACGTCAACAACAAGACAGAATTTCAGACAAGAAAAGTCTTTCCGCGGCTAAAATTCTTCAGGTGTGGGTCGGGTTGGTCGCGTCGTGCTCTCCTCGTGTGGGTGTGTGTGGCGCCGTCGGGGTGTATAAATAAACACGGGGTAAAAAGAAAGAACTCGTTTTTGGTTAAAACGGATGGTCCCCTGGGGAGCGGCCCCAAGCCCCCCATTAAGCGGGGGGGGCCGGGTAAAGTTCCAGTGGGGGGGGGGGGGGGGGGGGCTCATGGCAGTGAAAGCTCCCAATAGTCATTCAGTACTGCTCTTCATCTTCATCTTCATCGGTCACTCAAATGACATCAGATTGGCTGGAACCTGAATGTGGAAGGAACACAACATGTTTATTCAACCGGTGGGACTGTAATGCCTTCAGTGTGTGTGTACCTGTGTGTGTGTGTGTGTACCTGATGTGTGTGTGTGCGTGTGCACCTGTGTGTGTGTGTGTGTGTGTACCTGTTGTGTGTTGCTCTGGCAGGCAGCACTCAGGTGTTTGAACCAGAGCAAAGCGTTCATTCGGTTCCCTGCTTGGTACTTGTAGGTGTTACCTGGGCAACGGAGACAAACAACAGTGAGACACACACACTAACACACACACTCAGTGGAAACAGACGTGTGTGTGTGTGTGTGTGTGTGTGTCTCACCGTGCTCCGAGTCAGTCAGTAAGAAGACGTCCGGGTGCTCGGGGTCGTCGGCCATCATGGTCATCAAACCCACGACACACACACACTTGCTGCACGTTGACTTGAACTGAGCAGAACAAGCAGAAGAAGAGACGTTAACACAGGTGTGTGTATGTTTGTGTGTCTGTTGTGGGCCACGTGGGATCTCAGACTCACATGCTTCCTGTCGGAGGCCTTCAGGGACTTGGCAGCATAGTAGTAGAGCTGAGTCTCACACAAGGCCACCCAGTACTTGGTCCACGACGCCACCTGGAGGCACAGAGTCATCACAGAGGGGTTCTTCAACAATCGCCATGGGAGGGGGGGCACTTGATCGCTACAGTCCAGGAGCCTCTCAGGCCTCTGGAGCTGAAACACTGACAAACATGGAGGTATCCAGCTGAACACGCGTGTGGACAGATCTGGACTCCTCTAGAGAGGCTTGACAGACATCTCAGGCTGTGATTGGCTCTTTTGAATCGTCTGATCCTATTGGATCGGAGTAGCATGACGTGGAGAACAGCCACAGCTCTCAGCCACCCGGAATCCCAAACGGGTAGAACGTAAAATGGACGTATTTCAGTAAAAAAACAAAACGTGAGGAGCCTTTATGGTGTTGGTGTCCCAGAACTTCAGCGTGGTTTGTTTGAGAGAAATGTTACGGATATCAGCAAATTCAGGGTGAAATGTGCTAGCTATTTGACGTAGCGTTTTCGTTGTTAGCTTATAGCTTTGATCGATAGATGCACTTGTGCGCTGCCGATTCAGCCCGTGCGGTCGTTGGAGGACCTGGTCCACGTAGACCAGAAGGCCGGGTCCTCCTGACATATATATATATATATATATATTATATATATCCTAGATGTCTAGTATAGAACGTCCTCACATGGCGGCCATCTTGGTATGGTTAGCTCGCTCACCCATCACATTGGGTTGTTAGATGTAAATGTACTTTTGGTGTCATAACGGAATCTGACATTTATAACAAACCAAACCGTTTAAAAGTCGGTTGACAATTGAAAAGTTATGGTTATTTAAAAAGTAATGTATCACTAGCAACACAATGCTGTGGGTGAGCTGTACCAAGATGGCCGCCATGTGAGGACGTTCCACAACAAAAGCCCTCTGGTGGTCAATGCAGATGTTAAACCTGGTCAGTTCTCCATGAGCGGCTCAAGCTTTTATTTTACTGAACCTCAGGGGGAATAATTGATTACTGAGACACGAGGAGGACGAGGAGCAGAGGTTCAGAGGCCTGAGACACCTTTCACAGTGTGTGTGTGTCTGTGTGTGTGATTGTGTCCTCACGGTGGGTCTCTTGCCCCTCTTTCAGCACCGTCTTCCTCCTCAGGACCCCCCGCATCGTGACCGCTCCGGGGTACAAGTGACCGCCAGCTCCTCTGACTCCGCCGAGCTACACACACACACACACACACACACACACACACACACACACACACACACACACACACACACACACACACACACACACACACACACACACACACACACACACACACACAAAGAGGTGTGTTAGAAGCAAAGAGCCTGACGCAATCTGCAGAGACAGCTTAAACAGTTCATCTATTATTATCCATTTATTATCTATTAGAAAATACTTGTCATGATTCAGAAGAACGTAACATGGGGGGCAGAGGGGGGCAGAGGGGGGCAGAGGGGGGGGGCTCTGTCCCTCCTGGATGATGATGTCATTGATTGTTTTAGCTTGTCTGGAAACTTATTAATAATAATAATAAATAGGAAGCTTAAGGTTGTGAAAAATAGTTGGAAATGTATCACAGGAAGAGATCAGAATCACCACGTGTGTGACAGAGTGTGTGTGTGTGTGTGTGTGTGTGTAAAGATGGGTTTATAAAGTGATGATGCGCAGTAGAAGAAGAACCCCAGACAGCCTGAGACACACAGGGGGGGGGGGCTGTGGAGGCTCAGCTGGGTACCTGCTGGGCCTCAGGACTCCTCTGTAGGGGATGCGGGCCACGCGGGTCACTGGGCCCAGAGAGTGATAGAAGCGAGTCCTGTTCAGGGTACAATGGGGGTTTAGTTCTTGGGGCTGGATGAAGGGGTCATTGGTCCGTGTGTGCAGGCTGACTGGTGGACACTGGTCTGCTCAGGGGGTCTACTGGTTAGAGGGTGGGGCTTTAAAAGATGAGCCCTTGTCGGGTTGCAGATGAGTCAGCGAGCACCGGGGGAGACAGGAAGCCAAGCTGGACGTAGTCATGTCTGCATAGCTGTGGGTGGAGGGGTGGGGGTGTGAGGGTGGGGGTTAGTGATCTTACTCAGACGCCTCACCTCTCAAACGCCGGCCAGGACACCTCCTCGCTGAGCTCAGAGCCCTCGCTGCTCCCTGAGGAACGGAGACACACCATCAACCAGGGGTGTAACGGTTCATTTTAACGATTCGACTCGCGATTCAGGGACGATCTGGGTTCATTTAGAACGAATCGATTCAGTAACTTTACTGCACAGTGCAGGCAACGCTTCTGAGATCCCTGTTGTTTCTTGTAAGGAAATCAGGTTTAAATTCATTATGGATATTATAAACAAGCAAACAACAATTGATGGCAAATGTATGAACCTTGTATTGTGCAACCATTTTCAATGTAAACATGACACAATAATTACACAATGTTTGGATCAATTCACCTCATTGTCGGGTCGCACGTCTTTACAGATGAACTTGTTACTGTGATGAGTTTGGTGCTGGAGGCCTGAGGCGTCTGCAGAGCTGAGTTACCTGCTGCTGCTGCAGCGGTGACGCTGCTAGAGGTCCTGACTGTCGCCGTTGTTTAATCCCGCGGCGCCTTAGTAGACGGCCGGAAAGATTCGTCGTGTTTCCCTGGTTTTTATTTGTCTTCTACATATTCTACAAACAGCGAGCGACTTATTTAGAACACCTCCGTGTTTGCAAAAGCCAAAATGTTTCCACTGGATCGATACGTTGGTTTGTAAACGTCTCGCTCGCAGTCGTCTCCTCCACGCTGTGTGTTGCTGTTGTTGTTGTTGTTGTTGTTGTTCAGAGTTTCGCGCGGCGGCCGCTGCGTACTGATGACGTCACCGACAAGCAGACTGAATCCAGTCACGTTTAAAAACAAACACACATCCACGCCGTTGTTGTACTTAAATCCAATGTGCAGTTTCTAAGTATCGATACAATCGATTATGTACCATTTCAATCGATTTGTAATCGATGTATGTCGAGCGGAATGTCGATTTACGGAGCACAGATCGATTCAGTTGGATCGCAGGAATATAAATCGATTAATCGATTCACTGAATAAATCGTTACACCCAACACACACACACACACACAGCTGTTGAAATGAAATTTAAAAAAATCATCATCCATTTCATTACATCAATGCAACAGCACACTGTAGCACTTCAATCAGGTTGCTAAACAATAAATGCATCCACCGACATCACTCAACCCGTCAGTCATACTTGCAAACCTTAAGCACACAAGAAAAAAAAAACCTGATGTCTCATTGCGTGTTAGTGATATCTTTGTATATGTACATGACATATATGCATGTTATTTTCTTTTTAGTGCATAATGTTCTTGCAGACATCTTAAAAAGAAAAGAAAAAAGGGTAGCGGGCCGAGTACGCGGCCCAGCATCCCACCTCTCACTAGCCGAGCAAAGATGAGACCGCCTCTAGATGATTCACGCTTCAATTCTTTTACGCATTATGCTGGAAGCAAAAAACAGAATGTTGCCTTTCCACTCATTAAAGTTCTTCAGGTCGCCAGTTTGCCATTTGTCCAGATGTCCCGGTCTCCATTGTCATTCAGAAAGCTTTTTC